GATACTGAAAGTTACTGTGCAAGTTACTGACTACTTGGCTACTTTTTATAACGTAATTAACTTTGGTTTAAAGACATAACTATTTTTAGAGGCTACTTACCATGCTAATAAAAAGGTTGTAAGCAAAATAAATACATTTTATTAAGGTAATGTTTCCTTGCTTGGTATGTCCCAGATAATTTGCCTGAACCTCCTTGGGTGCACTTTGGGTGTGCACTTCTCGCATTGTGGCAAAGAATTTATTTGGCTTGCAATGCGAATCGCTTTTCTTGTCGAATCGTATCGCCTGGCCAATGCACATCGATATATCTGAGTACATCCGGAAACCGATCCAACCTGTGCTCCGAGATAAACGATTGTCGCTTAAAGCCTTTGATGTGCCAATTTTCATAGTTGATAGCCCGTTCGGCTTCCCTTTTCCCCGATATTTTCTGGTGTCGAAGTGAAGGCAGGTAAAAGTTTGCATTTCACTTGTAGGTTTAACTTTAAAGTTTCCTCTCGGTTCGAGCACCAACTTTTGCACTTAAAACGCGTTCATAAAATCGTTTTCTTGCCGGCCTATTTCATTTTCAACAAAAAGATGCGCTTGCTAAATAGCATTTATCTAATTCAGATTCCCTCTTTTGCTGTTCATTTATTTTTCCAGTTCTCGCTCAGTGTTCCAATGGCAAAGCTAAGAAAGCTTGTATATAGGAAAATGATATATATTCTTCTTAGCCTAATTTTTTAAGATGTATATGATGTTTGACCTTAATAAGCGTATCTTACATTTAGCACTACTTGTCCAGTAGTGTCAACTGATAAGCTGCCTATTTGAATACCCATCAAGTAATTGCAGAGCACCTCGCAAATTAAATTCCCCAGATGTACCCCAAGAACTGTCATTACTCTGCCACCCCAGAGCTAATGCACTGACATAGCCCACCATTTACCATCCATCTATCCATCGACCCGTCATTCGAGCCATTCATCCAGACAACCATCCATGAGATCCATCTCTTGTTAGCTCTAAACACAATTGAATGACAGACAAAAGACATTGGGAGAATGCAGTTTGAATATTACGTATACGCCACGTGGTCCTCCTGACATACTGACTGACTGTTTGTCTGCTTTTGCACTTTAGTTTTTTGCAATTCCGTCATTATTTTCTTATCGTACATAGCCTCAGGCATTTAATTGAACAAGTGAGCACTTTATTAAAATGTCACTCAACTGAGTTTAGTGCGATATACGAGTATGCAAAAAGTCGTGGCGAGATGGGGTGAGCATTGGTTGGCGATGGTGCCAAAGGACGAATGCGGCAATGGCCGTCGACGTGGTCTGTGCAAATTTCATTACAGCGGTGTCAGGCCTTTTGACAGCCAGTTTCACCTACATTTAGCACAGTCCTGCAGAAGCAAATGGCGAGGATATTTCGAATTTCGACTACTCTAATTAAGATTGTTTCAATAAATAGTGAATTAAAAAAAAAACTAAGTACATTTTGGATACCAAAAAAAAGAAGCAATATATTTAATATTGTATATATCTGGTTTGGCGAAAATTTAGTTCTACATTTCTAGTTTTGACTTGAATCTTTTTCTTCAAATTTTTGGAAATCAATTTTAGGAAGCATTAGAATACCACAAATAGATGGCGCAATCTGAATTTAAATTTAATTTTTGACTATATTAATAAGTTTGGTACAGCACAGTGAAATAATGGTACCATTGCCAAGATGAAAAACAAAAATGTTGTTTTATATGCGCCTCGTTAGAAATAATATACCCTCTAAGCCCACCTATTACCACGTATAAAAACTACATAAACAGCAACAATAACAGGAACGGGACCAGTTGCAGTCACGGATGCCGCAGTCGGCTGCATTTAGCGTATGCATATTTAATATTTCCCATGCAAGTTGCAAGTTTCAGGCGAAACGAAACGAAACGAAACGAAACAACAACCGAAACTCCAGAAACTCTCCAGCCAAAGCCATGGAAAAGAAGGATAAAAAAGGGTTGCGAACTGAAGTTGCAAAAAAGGGAACACAGCTCATACTCGTATATCATTTGACCCTGCTGCAGAAGTTGCCCCCATATCCTTTTCCCCGTTTCCCGCTAACAAGAGGCAAACAACAGGAAAACCAAAACAGTGAAAGAGCGAAAAAAAAGTTTTGAAATGAAAAAGCAGTCAGCATATGAAATGAGTTTATTACTCAAAATGCTCCACTCCGTGTTTATACGAGCATGTGTGTGCTGGTGTGTGTGTGCGGCACGCTTTAAGTGGCATGCACCACGAGGCGGCCTGGGGGGGCGTGGCAGCTGAAAGAAACGGGCTGACGTTCTTCTCCTTCCGCCTGGCAATAGTTAGCTAGATTTATTTATAAATAATTTCCACGCATAAATCGCTGCGCAGCTTAATCAAATTTGCGGCTGACAGTGAGTAGTAGCAAAGGTATATGACCGCGGCCGAAATCTTTAAGGAAATCTTTGGGATAACATAAAGTTGTATACTTTAATGCTCTTTGGGCTTTTAGTGGCACAGCTACTGCTAGTTACTACTATTTACTTTTGTTTAGAAATGTTGTTTTGTGGGTATGTATATTTTTAAATTTTATGGAAGCGAGGCCTCACATTTTCCAAGAACAGGTATATTTGCTATAATTTAACATTCTTTCTTTTAAGTGTTTCAATTTCCCAGGATTTGTATCCTTTCTCCCCTGTTGGTGCAACTCGCGCTGCAGCGAAAACACTTACAGCATAGGATAATCATCTGCATTTCGCTGTCGGGAAGGAATATGCAGCGCAGGGGAAATGCTCCAAAAATACCTAACTGCGTTAATTGAGCGCGACATTTGCTGAAACTAGAGCATTATATAATGCAAAGCAGGAACGCCAGGGGCGGATGCGTTGGCAGCGGATGTAGCGCAGAAATAGCGCGGAAATTGGCTTATAGATGCCGGGCCATAGATATGCAGCTATTAGCCGTCTTCCGTTCGACCAAATTGCGGATTGAAGAGGCACATTCCGACTTGCACCGCATATGTCCACCATAAATGCATTTGTGTGTCTGCCTGTCAGTGAGTAGGTGTGCTGCTGAGTACCTCAAATTGCTTTCAGTGGCCAAAAGTATGCCGCTGTCAAGATTATGTTACTTCTGGCAGAGGGTCAATCGTAAAGTTCTCCCAAGAGCTCCCAGATGGGCAAACTATTTCGAAAGCATCAAATCCGATTTAGGAGAGTTCAACAGAATATATTATTAGCATTTTTTCAGTAAATTGTTTTTCAAAAGTTGTTTTTAGATTTAATATAAGCGAAGTTCTTGAAAATAATCAAATTTACCGACGAACCAAATTCTTAGTCTCCCGTCTTGTTTTATAACGATTTCACTAAGCGCATTAGCCTTAGTTTCTAGCATTTTTTCGCAGCTTCCACTTGGCCAGCGAGGCCAAAGTTGGTCTAACCAGAAGAGCAAAGTGGTAAAAAGGGTAAAAAAATTGGCAGAAGGTCGCTCCTCTGCATTAGCTGGTCTGCAAGCGGCTCAAGTGCAAAATCGAATTTAGCTAACGAAATTTCATCTTGCTTGCCAAGAATGCCGCCCCATCCTTCTTGAACTATTCCACCTTACCTGTGCCAGTCCCCTTAACTCTTTAGCCCGCACAAGTCCCCCTAAAAAATCCAACTTTTCTAACCCCTCTTAACAGCAGCCGACGATGGCGATAAGCGCCTGGAACATGCGTGCTAAAAACACACATAAGGACACCCTTACAAAAATCTGCACACCGAGAAATATTCAACCAATGAATCTCAATTTTTCGATAGTTCTGATAAGAAATCCTTTTTGCTTTTAGTTATTTCGCAGTTTGAAAAGGACCTGTTATGCTATCGGTATAAACGAGATGATTACAATTAGGAATTATATTTTGTAAAACTAAGAACATTTATTAGGCTCGACCTTTCTCGCAGTGTAAGAATGCACCTGTGTTCCCCCTAATGTTGGTTACAAAATCAAAAAAAAAAGCTCCCGTGAAGGCAGCTTTTGGGTGGAAGATGGGAGCCATGGGCAAGGGCTGCTTAGTTCGGGGTCAAAGGGTGCTGCAAATTCAGCTGGAGCACCAGCATCAGCACCTTTGCCATTAACCCAACTCGGTTGGTTTTGGTTCGCTTTTTGCTGGGTGCTGATGCTACTGGTGCTTCCTCTTTTTTGCTATTAGTTTTCGCCGCTTGTTTGTGTGTGCCAGCAGCAACACCCCACCGAAAGCCCCACTCTACAAGCTCGCCTCGAACATACCTGTATACCTGTTCGTTTTTTGTTTTTAAGTGCAACATGAAATGTGCATACCAAGGCGCAGGCCAAACCAGACACGGACTTCAGCCTGGACAGACTCCGAGAATCCCCTCTACCTCCACGCACCACCTCGACCCACCTGACACTTCCTGCCCCGCCAGCGTCGCATCTGCGTTTTGCTGGGCTCATCCTTAGATGCTACTTCCAATTCACCACTGACTAATACACTCCCAGTGGTTGCACCTATAGATATTCTGCTGTGTGGCGACTATGTAACCAATGTTTTCGTAGTTTTGTTGCAGGGCCCAGAAACTAAGATATATGGCAGCTGCCAAAAGATGCAAAACATGGCTTTACCTTACATATGTTTTATACAGTGCTTCACAAAACTTTCTGAGCCCCATGCTATTATAAACACCCAACATAAATTTGAACATTTTGTTGCCCTAAAAGTGAAGTAAAAATTTGACTGCGCAGAATTGTTTTTAACTATCTACAAATTAAGAAGAAAAGCATGCATACTTTTGAGCACTACTTTTTATGACAGCAGCCATGTCCTGCTGCGTGGCTTCTGATGCACCATTTAGGAAAAGGAGGAGAGGTCCTGCGCATGTGTCTCTGACAGCTGCTGGAAGTGAATTTGCTGGGAAATTAAAACCACCGGCAGTTAGAATAGTTGTGAAGTATGCCAGGCCGAACTAATCAAGCTTGACTCTCAAGAATTATACGATATGTGCCGCTAGGCACATTTATTGTCACCTATCCTATGTGTTATAATGGCTATAAAAAAATATAGAAACATCTACCCATCTAGAGAGTGCTACCTTCTTATTCTGAAGAGGCTCTTGTTGCTTAGCCGGTTTAGGGAGACGGAGGCCAAGCTCAGCTTCGCCCTGAGTGACGATTTCAGGACTTGGATATGGGTGTCCACCTCTGAGATCTTCTCCTCCAGGCGAATGTGTTCCAGGCGTAGCTTGCTGACTACCAATCGCTTGCTGCTCACATGATCCACGGTTGCATCGTAGTCCAGCAGCAAATCCGGATAATGCATCAAGCAGCCGGCTTTCTTTAGCTTGAGTATCTTTTTCTTCACCCACTCGTGCTTAACCATTTCCCGGTAGTGTCGAGCCCTGAGGTCCTTTTTCAGCTGCAGCTGCGTATTTAGCTTTGACTTCATGTTTTCAAGCAGGTCCTCGTTCATTTTCATCTTGTTCTTCAAGTGTGCCATCGCATGGAGATCATAGGTCTTGCGGTCGCGAAATCGCTTAAGTTCTATGTCCTTTTCTAAAGTTTAAAAAATTTCCCAAATTAAAAAGGTGTTTTTAATCTAAATAATGGAATAAGATACAAATACGATTAAAGGATTGAGAAGATTAACATAACAGTGTTTTTAATATAATTTTAAAATATATAAATAATTATAGAAAATAACAGAATATTTAGCTTACAGAACTTTTTGTAAAAGCATTAAAATGTTATTCATCGAATTCCTAATAATTCCAAAGACTTACCTTTATTTTTAAGCCGCAGAGCGTTATTCCCAGCATGATTAGAAATATATTCGAGCACACGGAGGCCATTGCCCAGATTTTCCAATTTTTCCAATTTCTAAAATAACTAATTAAAGAATTTTGAATACGAAAAAAGGTCTGCTCTTACGAATTTCAAGGCCTGCAACCGGTGCTGAACATAAAGCAATTCCACTCGAACGTCGGAAGTTTCATCGCGGGTCTTGTTCATTTTTTTGAGAAGCTCATTCACCACAATCGTCACGCGATCAAATCCCTCCCTGCAAAGTGTTTCCCTGACTACCGCTTCGAATTTGGCTAATATCTGGGCGTCCTGAGCGCGGGCTGCTGCCTCCTCCTCGAACAGCTCGCTTCTTTGCTTAACACTTAACTTTTGAGTCAGCTTAATTTGCTCCAAGCGATTATCCAGTTCTACCAGAGCAGACATCAGCCTTTCGCGGTTAATCGTGTCGATTTGCTTGTCCTCGCTGACCATGGAAAACTCCTTGCGCCTCACATAGTAATCTGTGGCGATCCTCTCGAGCGCCTGGTTGCGTTGTATTTCATATTGGTAGTCGATGACCAGCTGACTCAGTTCGTCTAACATTTTTTCTTTGTCCAGCTGTCGTCTCAAACGAACGGAAGTTCTTTCTTCATGCTCAACCACTTCGTTTATTAATCCGGTGAGGAACTGCTCAACCATCGCTACTGTGGCCATATGAATCTCATTGAACGAACCCGATGAGGAATCGTCGAAGACCGTTGAACTGATCCGGAGGCTAAACAAATGTTCACTTATATCCTTATGTGGCCTTTCTTTTGGCTCAATCTCATTATAAACTTGCTCATCGGCTTCGGATACAGATTCGCTACTGATCTCTATGCTGTGTGTTTTGTGGTCAAGATTTTCGGTGGACTCATCCACTTGGAGATCCACGAATGAGTCCGATTCTCTGTGATCTTCTTCTTTCTTGACGGCCGCAGATAATTCCTTCTCTTTCCTTTTCTTGGTCCTTTCCTTCTCTTTGGTCAGCTCTATATTCGCAGCACTTTCAGTAGCAGAGAGGTTGTCAATATCAGGTAGACTACCAAATATTTCCAAAAACTTAAGTCTTTCAGATTGTTCCTCATTATCCGGTTCATTAAGGTCACTTTCATATTCCGATAAAGTAGACTCTGTTTCAGTATTAGAATCCGAAGGAATACTAGTTAACGCTTTTTTTGAATCAGAATCCGAAATGTTGTGTTGATGGTGATGTATTGAGGGTAAGGATTCTATTGACTCGACGATCCGTATCTGCACATTATAGGAATCTGTCTGGGTCTCCTGTACTATCTCAGCTACTTTTGGCTTCTTAGGTTTCAAAACATATATTTTATAACGACCCCAGAGTCCAGCTTTGTTCATTGGTGGCCTATTCCTGCTACCCCTGCCTCTGGATCTTCGCGAACTTGTGGAAGTTCTGGATAAAACGGAGGTGTTCGATTCCGTAGACATTGCACTAGACCGATTTGCAGGAGAGTCGAAAAGGTAGTTTCTAGAGAAACCATCACGGAAAGAAAATTTTTGACTTAATCTCCGTGACGTTTCTTTAGAGCTTGCCAAAGTGTTCTCTTTCCTTTCGATCGGTCGTAGAATGGCTTGGGATGAAACCTCCTTTTGTGGCTTTTTGGCCACTTTACGTGGCTTATTTGCAGCCAGAGTTTTTGAAGTTCCTTTGGCTTTTGTTCTTTTTTGCTGTCTTACCAGTTCTTTGGTCAAATCTTTATCATTTTCTGTTGGCACTAAGGTCTCTTCAGGCACTTCTTTTGATTGAATAGTTGATCCTATTCTCGATGTGGGTTCAAAGTCTGTGGAGTATTCCGCGCCTTGCGATAAAAGTGAGCTCCTTTGAATTATACTCATGGTGGGATGAATAACAAAGCTCAAAGTAAGATAAGCAAACAAACAAGGAACTACGAAATAAATATTGGGAACATACGAGAGTGTCGACCCAACGAAAATGAAAGTGTTTGATATTTAGGTAAAAGGCACCTGAACAAAAATTAAACTTTGTTGACTGCAATGAGTTAGATATAATCATTTGATATAATCATGGTCCAACTTTTAGTGCAAACAGAATCCATGAAGTATGCCTGTTTGAAAAGGTGGGCGGAAAAGGAAAGGCAGATTTAAGCGATTCCTTTTTTGGCTGACTATCGTGTTACCCACTTTTAGCCCGAAGAAGCTGCATGTTGCTGGTTAATATCATCACTCATGTATGCCGCATACTAAAGAGAATTTATCATGTCTGCTGCTGCCGCCGTTGATGCAGCCATAAAAAATAGAAGAAACTAGTGAGAAGGACTCTGAAGTACAGGGCATCATGGCTAAGGGACCCACGGGGACCAAGGTTCCAGGCTTTTGGGCTTTCGTCTGCATTGCTTGGCTCCGAGCTGTGGCGCCTCGCATTGTCGCTCAAGTGTTTCGGCAAACTGGCTTGCCGTCTGTGCGGCAAGCTGTGCAGAAAGCAAGGTGGCAAGAAGTTGCAGGATGTGGACGAAGCGGTCTAAAGGATATCTGGCCTTATGGGGAAGGGATAGCAAGTTGTCGTCGGATCCTGACAGACTAGCCTAATTGAGCAGGGAGCAAAGTGCAGAGATTGTCCACGGATAAAATAGACAAATATATTTAGCCATAAATAGCCTGATGGTATTTTTTGCTAATCGATTTATTGACTTACATGCAAGGCACCCTTGATATATAATAATATATGTAATGGAAACGATGATGTGTGTAATTAAAATATATTTGCATCTTTTACAACATTTTGTTTATACGAAATAGATGAAAACAATACAGTTCTCTTAAAATATGAAGTGGAAAAATACTTATGAGTTGATTGAAATTATCTGTAGAGTACTTTCAATGCGACACCTTTTTTCGTGGCTTGGTTTAGTTTGATGTTGCTGCCACGGCTGCTGAATATTCGCAAATTCGTTTACGTTACCCAGTCAGTTCCCCTTCTGCCTTTTCCCTCCGGGCGACCACCATCAGCTAAGTAGATTTGGGCTACCTGCATGCAGCTATGCTGCAGCGTTTAAGTGGGTATATAGTATATTCCTTTTTTTGCTCGGCGGTGCGGGAGGGAAATGGGCTTTGGTCGCTTTTCTCTTTTCCCGGGACTTCTGGCAAATTGCCTAAAACTTTCTTTATATTTGATGTAATGAATTTCAGCGGGAAAGAGACGCAGCTAGATTTGCGATTGCCAGGGAGAGTGGGCCACAAAAAATACCAAGGACGGAAATGTGATGGAAAGCAGAAAAAACACAACGGCAGCCGAAGCAGAATGTAGCATACATTGCGTATGCGTAATGTGTAACAGATACTCCACATACGCCACGTTGGCTGGGCGTGTGTGTGAGATCCGTTTCCGCAATTAAAATGTTGATTACATGAAGTACGACTGCCGCTTGTTTGTTTCCCTTGTGCCACGCCCCCATTTCGCCCATCCGATGCTGTGGGCGCCACAAAGGAAAACGGAAATTATGTGTAGATGCGGGCGTTGGCGCTTAGCTGAGCTTTTCATTCGGCATTAACAACAGCGTGGTAAAATGGCAGCGGTGAAGGCAACAACAATGAGCAGAGACCATAAATTGCAAACATTTGGCTGTTTCGCGATAAGCAATCCGTTGCCAAAAGGAAGGGGGAGCAACGAGTTTAATGACGTACCTAGATTACTAAGGCCCAGATAAGCGATAAGTCGGAATACACTACAGTTTAAACGCGGCTTTAAAATCTAAAAATATTCACCTCATCACTAGAATTTTCTAATTGGCATGTTTTCTTTTTAGATTTGATCATGGATGCGAGACAACACATAATTGAATAATATAGTTATTTTTGTATGATGCTCCCGCGCTGCCTTGTCCTTATTACTCGATGAATTAGCTTGATTGCTTTTGATTTGAAATTTATGAGTAACAATCGAATTTTATATCAATAATATAATGCGGATAGGAGCAGAAGTCTATGGCATGTTTTCTCTTCCCAACGTAAAAATAAGAAGAATGCTGCAATGGCTGAAAATAACGCGCCTTACACCGTAATTAAATCAATCATACGACCTGTTGGCAAAGAGGCCCAGACAGAAACAGAAGTGAAAGGAGCAGCCAAAAAGAGCGGGGAGGCGACTGGCGTGACGAAGGTAACGCCCCCGAATACACCTGGAGAAATTCACGCCCCCCTGCCCACGAGCACCTTGCTTAGCATAAATGAATATTTATAATTCAAACGCCTTTTGCCCATACTTTTTCCTTCTGCATGCAAAACAGCGGCGGCGACTGAAGACCCGCAAAGTGCTTTTTTCGAAGACTGAAATACGAAAGAGAGAGACGGCAGAGTGCAGGGGGAAGAGAAAAGAATAATTTTTTATGAATATTTATTTGTTTTTACAAAATCGAAGTTATGCATTTGCTGCTCGCTCTTTTCTTGCTGGAAATAATGCTCTGTTAGACACGTCCCTGCCCCAAAGTGGCATCAAAGTTTTCCCTTCTTCGACTGCTGAAAGGTGCGTAAGACAATTTAATTTATTTGATGCATTAAAGCAGAAATATTAACGCTATAAATCAATGAGTACAAAAGTTTTTCCCCTCCTTTTCCTCGTTCCCTTGCTGTTCTTGTTTAAGTGTATTTCGTATTAATTTATGAGTGTGCCCTTAACCCTACCCCCACTCCCATTTCCACTCCCTTTGGGCCGGGCCGAAAAAATTCTTTCGCGCGAATTTTTTATGACAGCTGCGCGTAAAGTTATCACATGTAAGTTTGGCTTGGAGCAGCCTACTTTGAAGGCCGTCGATATGGCTAACAATACTATGGGACACCTTCGTGTTTAAGCTTTAAGGCCAAGCTAATAAGATAAACGGAATTTTAATTGGCTTTCTTATTTACTTACCCGTTACTCATAACTCTAGGTAAAAGGGTATACTAGATTCATTGAAGAGTATGTAACATTATACTCGTATATCAGAATCACTGGCAATACTATTACCTTCCCTTTGAGGGTCGAGATCTCATTTTCAATCACTCCAAATCCAATCTACACGCTTTTGTTTGGAAAAGATTGAATGCCAGAATCTAGCATTCCGTAATATTAGCAATGTAAGTTGAGCTTTATTTAAAGTGGCTTACTCCATCTGCATTCTGAAATTTCTATAATTCTCTTACTACTTTTATTGGTTGGGGGATTTGCTGTGCAGGCCACAACTGTTTCTGACTGGGAATGGAATCTCCTTCAGGGCTACCTAAGCTAGACTGAACCATTAGCTAAGCACACAGAGAGAAGAGCTAAATACTCCTTCTAGCCCCTTAAGCCTCTCATAGCCTTGCCCCATTTGAAAGCCACATAAGCTTAAAAATTTCAAGTGCTGCACCGATTTCAACCCGGCACAGAAATGAAGTGAAATGCCTCTGTCCCGCAGAGAGTTTCCAGTTGGGATGCAAGCACCAAACAACAGACAAAAAAATGTCTAGGTACTTATAGATTAATATTAAATTGTATATACAACATTCATGCATGTTCATATTATTCAAACTTTATATTAATGTAGGAAAAAACGCTGTAGTCGAAATCCCCGACTATCAGATACCCGTTACTCAGCGTGGGGGAGGTTGGCTAAGTGCAAAAACGTATTTAACATTTTAAAGTTATGGTGGCTTGCTGGAAATATCTTTTCATCATATTCCCTGCCTTTATTACGTACCATAATTATCTAGCAGTTGCATTTGCGTATAAGTAACGCGTATAGAAGTACTTTAAATAAAAAATAACTGAATTTTATACCCGTATTACTCACATGTAACTTGGTGTTATTGGAGAGTGTGCGGTTGAACAGCAGTGGTCGGCATTTGTATGGGGTATAAAACTCAGAGGAAGGAAGGAAGTTCGCCCAAAACCTTATAAATGTCTGCAGTTTATTGTGGACTTAACGCCTTTTAAATTTCTCATGCAAAACGAAACTTTAACTCGATTAATGCGCACAAAGTGCAATTATTTGCATTATTTTTCATTTTCAATTTGAATTCCATTTTTGGTCATTGTCATTGCTGGTGGGCAAACAAAAGTCGCTCATTTAACCCGATTCCTCTGGTTCAGTTGTGTGCATCGCATAGATAAAGTCATATATCAGGGATAATTTAAAAACCCTTCGCCCCAACCCCTCTGCTCTGACGTCATCAGTTGGAGTTTGGCTTTCTGGTCTGTTGGTTCATTAAATATTGTGATAATTTTTCATATTTATTTTTAAGTGGTTTACAGTGACAGTGAAATTTACATTTTATTTCATTAAGCAAAGCGCCATTTATATTTGATTCGCGGGCCCACACTCATTTGGGCTTATACATTCACATTTATTATTTGCATATACAATTTTATTTGTCCTTCGTTTAATGGCGTTTAATTGAACACCAGAAAACAATGTGCAAATTAATTGCATTGCCTCGCTAGCCTTGAAATTTGGTTAATGCAGCAGTGCGAAATAACAACGGCACGAGGTTACGAAGTTGAACTACATTTTTAATCAGTTATGAATAAGCTGCGCAGCATTGCTTAAATAATTTTATTTTTAAAATATTTAAAATACTATTAATTATTATTCTTATTTGCAAACAAAATTATCAAAAATATACTAAGATATACTGAGATAGCTAACAGAATTTTGGACGCTAGAAAAATCCCCCCTTATTTGCAAATTTATGGCAGACCTGGTACATTGTGGCCTAATGTAATGCTATAGTTAGTCATACACTTTTGTCAACTTGCTCCAGTACATTTCCCTATGTGAGCTACCAGAAATACTAACAATTTATAGGAAAGTTCCGATGTTAATACCAAACTGCTGTTAGCTGAAACAGATGGAAGTGGTACAAGCAAGGGGAAGGAAGAAGCGGGAGAGCAATCGAGCTTTCTCTCTCGCAACTCTCTTGCCTCGTCGAAGGACAGTCCACCGAGAAGCTTCCGGTGTTGGCCAAGTGAGGGCGCCACGCGCGTACTAGGCACTGTGAGCATGAGTTTTTTTTAGTCGCTATTTCAACTTTGAAGTGAACGCACGTCATTTTTGTCGCGCGCGTTGTTACAATCCCCTCTTTTTGAAGGAGCCAAACGAAACCCGAAACTGAAAACTGAGCCAATCGAATAACACGCACACTTTCAAAGTTCGTGTGTGTGTGTGTGCGTGAGCGAGTGGTCACTAAAAGTAATATCGTGTTTACAAAAAAGAAGGAAATACCCGTAATACTCTCAAATAAAAACCAAAGAGTGCAAGTGTGGCAGCAACAATAACAAAAACGTATTCAATGAAAATGTGAGCAAGTGCAGGTCCTGGAAATGAAAAATCTTTGGGCCCCCGCTCGAAATGCCGCATTTGTTGCGTGCCGAGAACATTTGTCAGGCATTTGTTGTTATTGCTGGGAAAACTGAGAAAACTGTTGCGGCTGCGGTTAATTAAAGCGCGAAAAGTGGAACACAAGGTGTAATCATCTGGCGACCCCAAAACTAACAAAAATTCAGAATAGTCGAGTCAACCGGAAAAGTGAAAACTGAACCTTGTAAAAGGGAGGGCAAAACATTTCCATCGTCAGTTTTTGTAGTTGGTTTCATATGTCTTCAAATATAAAAATAGACTATTTGATTTTACAAATTTATTTTTATAGAATACTCTAATGATTAATGTGTGAAATTGGTTACATTTTCAAAAGCCAAATCAGTTAATATAGTTTTTTTAACAATGTCTAAATAATAAGAAATACAAACTTATTTAGTCATGTAAGTCAAGATCTTCACTATTCTGTATTCAAAATCTACAGATAGATTATGGAATGATTAAAGCGGTATGCTCAATTTTGTTTCTAGATTTAAAATAACTCATTCGCGCCAGAAAACGCCAACTTCAAAACTCACAACCATAAATTCCCCATTTAGCCCACGAACATTTTAATCTTTAATTATATTTTGTGATTTTTTCTCGGTATTCTGCTTCTGTCGCCCCTTTTTTAGCTCCTGCTTCAATTTAGGCTAATTATGTTGCTTGGGCGTGTTGGAGTAGATATAGTATATACAGGATATAAGGCTAGGTCCTGACCATTCAGTGCCGCCTATTTATGCGCTCCAGTTTGCACAGTTGTTGTTTCTGCGGGTGTTCGCGATTTCAATGTTTCTGTAATTAAAACAACAGCAGCTGATGTTGTTGCTTTATTATCTGCACCTGACTTTTTGGCTATTTATTTGTGTTTACCCAGCCATGGTTGGCTTTAAACAAAGTGAAATGCCAAAAAAAGGAATTAACCGGAAAGAATTTAATATTATTGCTATCTGTCGGGGCATGACAGTATATTTATAAATATCTATAAATATTTGTTAATTGTTCGTGCTGTCACTGGATTTGTAAATGCCATAAATCATATTTCCAGCACTGGTGAAATGCGGGTCTGTGTAATTCCTAAAAGCACGTGTTTAATTGATTTTTAATGAGGAATACCCAACGACAATAATTTAGATGATTAAAATTTATTTTTTCTATAGCTTAGTTTATTATATAGCAGCGTTGGAAACTCTTCAATTTCTATTGAATATGTTTCTACTGCATGATTAAATGTTTTTCATTTTTGCACTTATCACAATTCAGATTAATGAACCCAAATCTGGTGTCCCGCATATTATTGAACCTTAATTGCTGTCATAAATAAAATAACAATTTGAAAGCAAATACCCAATATTGCCAATAAATTTCGATATAACGTATTTCTCAGATGAGGCCATAATTTTGTCAATCTTGAAATACGAGTTCTTCCCAATGGCTCGACCTCAATCCGCAACCAAACTCCTGTATTTCGTTTGATAAACAGCGCTCAACCAGTTTATGATAATTGCACATCTAGCTGGGATTATAAATCTGTATAATGCTTAGGCACTTGACGGTTTTTGGCTTGTTGGAATTAAAGCAAAAAGCGTATGCTTGACACTGTTTAGAATAAAAAGGGGACCTAAAGTGAATTTTATTAAACTCATCCCGTTGCCTTAGCTGTTAGTCACCATCTCAATTGCCTGGAAAGCGTTTTCCTGGCGCTCTAAATCAACCAAAGGGTTAAGGAGCGAGCGGCAACTGGATTTTGAATTTATGTGGCAAAGTCTTTCCTTCGTTTTCCGCTTTTCCACGCTTTTTCCGCCGCAGAACCGAGAAAAGGCTGCTGTGTAATTAATCTTTTCCCAAAATGCTTGAAAATTTATGTCTTTAACTTGACTGCAGTGCCGCTCCATATGATGGAGCAGCAAAATGGGGGCGAGGGCCTCAGGTCCTTTAATAGTTTTTGCCTTTAACTTGCCGTTGTTTTTGTTCGCGTCGCGATTAAAAGTGATTAATAGCCAACATTTTATTACCGCACAGAGGCAGCAGTAAAGGGGAGCCCCAAAACAACAACTTAATGTCCAAATGAAATAAGTGAAAATTTCACACCGAAATTAATAAAGACATTAGTGCGTGTGGGCGTGGCTCATTTGGGGCATTTAACGGAGGCCAAGATGTGTGCGGAGGATCCCTTTACCCAGCACCAGCTGCCGCACCACCATAAAACCGAGCACCACCAATGCCTCCAGCAGCTGCGGATGAATATGGAGCAACAGGACGGAGCTCTCTCTCCAGGAGTGAGAAAATCGGCCACAGGAAGGACGGCGGCCACGAGTTTGCAGATCTGGTATATCCTACATGTGATACTAGTCCTAATCGGTGAGTTATAAATCTCCCTTCTAATATGCATATACAAAAGGTTCTTTTAAATGGCTCATAATTAATGCTGGCCAGGGCTGTGGGCATATTTTTCTTTTTTATCTGCAAATGTTTGCCTGTGGGGTAAACCTAAGCACAAATGGCTAGAGTGTGCCATAGTTGGCATTAATTTAAAAATGGGATGTAATTATATAAGTGTACCCTTGAGTTTGGGCAAAGGGATTTATTTGCTTGCAAACAGGGTTTCCATCTAATATACATAGGTATTTTACGGGTAAGTTTTGGTAACGCCTTTGCGGAATTCACAGAATGTATAGAAAAGACTAATCAAAAGCTTATTTAAGAATAGCTTTTAATGTTGTTAAAACCAATTTGTAATCTTAAAATTACTGCAATCAAACAAACTCTTTGCCAAACACAGAAATTAAGATAACACGTTGTTTTTTCCTTTTATTCCTTTTACTTCTCAAGAACTTTCAAGTGAAGTAACAAATATCTTAAATGTCTTCCCAGCATTTCTCAGAAAACCTGACGCCAAACAAAAAGTATACGCATTTCATACTCAAACATTTTTACAGAATTGTTTCTGTGGACGGAAATCCAGCTCCCTCAAAACAAATTCCTGGGAAAATCCCAAGAAAAACAATCAACAAATTGAAAGCCAAAGACCAAGACAATCGAACAAATCCATTGGCGAAAGACAAAAGCGCCAACAAGGACAAATTGGGGCACGCAGACGGAATAGAAATTAATAAATTTGGCAAAAAGTCACCACTCAGGCTTACTATTGTTCATTATTAGAGGGATTCACGTTGTTCTATTTTTTGTTGCTTCATATAAAAAAATAATTACAAGCCACAGCTGGGTATTTATTATTTGAAAAAGCGATTGCTGTAAAAATATTTTTAAAATAAATAAGAGAAAAACCGAGATACGCTTTACTCAACTAGTGGAAGTGCGAACAGTTTTTAACAGTAAAAATTTAGGGAAAAATTAAATTTTTTTTGTTTAATTTTTTTAAGTGTGTGCGTGACAGTTTCCGGCAGTTTGACCTTTTCGACTCGGCCATTGCTGCTGATGAAGAACATATATAGTCGGAAACGCTTCCTTCTGCGTGTTACATACCTTTCAGCGAATCTAGTATACCCTATAAATACTGTATATATGAAAATATCTTCTTTGCCGTAATTTATAAGATGATAAATGACCTATTATGAAATATATACAGTCATATACATATTTTGAAGGGAAATTTATATTGCATATATTTTTATCTTTATTACTTTCAATCAGCTGTGGCGCTGCCTTTTGTCGCGTTTTTTGAGTTCAAGCCAGTTAAGTTGACATTTCCGGCAAGGCAAGAACGTGAGGGCGTTACTAATAGGGGTGTCGAAAAGTAGGGGCGAAAAAGCGAGGGGAAAGGCTGTAACTGTCTTTTCATTATTTTCAAATCATATCACAAAGGGCAGAGCACAGAGATGGGAATGCTGAGCAGCGGAAACGGATATGGAGCCAAGTGAATGTTTGCACACCAGCGGGGATCCTTGCAGGTCCTGCGGCTCTCCATATATCCGCCTCTCTCCCTATCCTGTCGTCCTGTCGTCCTGCCTGCCTCTGTGTGGGTGCGTTGGCTTAATTCAACGTCTCATTTGCATACATTAAAATGTCACATTTTACATGTCGTTTGAGCGTCTCGCCTTAAGCCTAACAGCAGTAACAGCATCCGCAGCAGAAGCCAACGTCAGTTAGCGTTAAGGATACTCCCTGGGAGCCTTAGAGCCATCCTGGCATCGGGAAATCCAAAGACGCCACCGCACCATCCACTCCTACACATAAACTACATTAGCAATCGGAGCAGCCGAAGGCAGCCATGTAAAAATGGCTTAACGCGCAAATCTTTCAACTAAACATTAATCCTAATGGTTTTCAATTTTGTTGCGCCTTCTGTGGCAAGTCAAGTTCGCGTCTCCTTATTTTTCATTCTGGCTTTTCTTTTAATTTTTTTTGTTTTGTATTTTACTCAACCCATACCTACTACTTTTCAGTTTTGGCGCTCTGCCTTCGACTCCGGTTGTGGGTCCTGCTTTGCATGTTAATACGCTCTTTGATATTGCCGAGCAGCGCCTGCAGCCTGATTGCTTCTGACAGCGTGCCCCGTAAACTCCCACCACCCCATGCTAACTGTAAATATGAAATTCGTTTAAATTTCATTGGGAGCTCAGCTCGTTCCCATTGAATTTTGCGAAAACAATCCCCGAACGCAAATAAAATAGCTCCACCTGCTCCTGCTTATATAGATATACGCACATTTACCCTTATATATTCCTATGCCGGCCACCGCCTCATTAGAGGGTAACACAATTTCGCATTAATCAAGTCAAGCCCACGTAGAAATCGCCCTTGACTCAGTACACACAATAAAAAAGGTAAAAATCGACAGGAGTCTAAATAATCATATGAAGACCCACGCCCTCTCCCCCTGTTTTGCATGTTGATTTTGTGCCAGTCGATGACGATTTAATTTTTTTTAGCGAAAAATGTGCAAATATTATGTCATTCGTGAAAATGCTCAAAAGTTTGATTAACAAACTCTGATTAGTTCTGGGAAAATATATCAAAGTAAAAATACCGAGTCTAGACTTTGCGTTGCCCATATAAGTATGCTATGTATTTTGCTATCTTCAACTTGGTGGTTGCACAGGCTAAAAAAAAATTTTAAGAGATATTCTAGATTAAATAGGTATTTCAAGATCCAATATTTATATATGCGAAAAATTTGCACATGATGCATATGTGGGCATCACGGGCTACGTAAGCACACACTTAAATCTCTGTGGTGTACCTCCCCCGCATCCACACACTGCCATTAAATGGTTGCCGGCAAACTGAGCATAAGCTCAAGTATGCTTTTGTTTAAATAAAACTGTGTCGCCGCAATGGCCAAAGCAACTGAGTCTCTGTGTGGCTAAGTGTTTTTTTCCCCCACTTTGTGTTTGCTTTGATTATTCACACACGCACACTCCGATTGTTGCAATAGATAGGACACACATACACTCGCATTCGTATCAATGTCCTGTGTTTGCGAGACAAAAACATTTTGAGCCACTAAGCTTTTGTTGAAGTTTATCTCTGCATTTGGCCAATTGATGAAAGCTCCTCGATTGTTTCTATTTTCTTTCCTCATTGTTGTTTTTCCACTTTCATTTATTGTCGTTGACATAACCTTCAGGTGCCCAAAATTCAAATAAATCTACCCCTCTGCATACTGTAATCCAAAAGCATCCGTACATATTTCATGGCACTTTCGTTGACATGACAGCATTTTTCTGGAACAAATTGCACAAAATTTGTTTGGTGTCTAATTTAAAAGCACTAAACGTAAATATTGAATTGGGTATGGATCCTGTTGGCGTACTTTATAAAGTTTTGTGTTCGTTTTCCAACTGATCAGTTTCACAAAGTATTTCACAAAAAGTAAAACTTTCTATATAATAAGTTCTTGGATAAATACATATACTTTATATGAAATTTGATATTTAATGTGCACAATATTTTGTGATTTCCATTAAATAAAATCTCTAAAAGGCAAAAAGACACTGGACAAAGCAAACAGTTTGGGACCCAGTTTTTCGGTTCAGTTCGGTTCAATTTGGTCCGATCCGGTCAGAAAACGCCCCTAACCAAATTGAAACAAAATAAAAATGCCCTGTGTTTACTTTTTTGGGCATTTTTTGTGTGTTTTTATTGAAGTCATTAGAGCGTAGAGAGAGAACAAAAAAATATATTTTTGGGTAGGACTTGGCATTAATGTCTGACGAGGCTCAGACGAACGACCGACAGACGCCTATTAATCATGCAGACTTTACGTTCCATTAAGCAGTCAAGGACTTCAGGGTAGGGGGTATGAAGAAATAAGGCAGGAGAAGACGGAAATGTGTGAGGGATTTTCCCAAAAATGTTAGAAGCATTATTTCTCAACTTGGTCGGATTACGTTTGGGTCAACCCAGAAACATGTCTAAATAAACAGGTTAAATTACCAAGTCGAAGGCATAATGATACTCTCTAATCCCTGAAGAATGAATATATTGAGAAAAAAGTATATTTCGCTCTTTTAATTATGTTTAATTGTGAGTAAGCATCGACTTTTCATACACTAGATGACTATAAGAAGCGTACTTTATAAAACATTTCATAGTATATATGAGGTAGTTATTAAAATCGACTCCCGGAAAGAAGATTTACCCCTTCATTGTCTGAACCAAATATCCTGCACCTCTGTCTTCTTAATTTTCCACCCATCACTTGGGGCACGTGCAGATGCTCAAAGTGTAGGCAACTGAAGGAACAAAATAAGACAGAAAAACAGAGAAGCGCAAACATTGCGCAGCAAACAAAGTCAGTGGCCATTTGCCTGTTTTGCTCCCAACTCCTGGCTCCTAATGGCCAAAATATTGTATTACAACAAATTGTGCATCTGGCCCGTAAATAAAAAAGAGAAGGCCAAAACAGCAGAAAACACCCTTTAAAACGGACCTCGAAACGGTCCTTGTGGTCCTCCCCCCTGGCTCCTCATCATCAGCTGCTGCTGCTAACGATATGGAAAATTTATCAAAAAATCTAAGGGGCCGGCAACAACATGACACCGTCTGACCGTTCGTCCAGGCATAAAATAATCAGCACAGTCAAGGATCCACAGGATGGGTGCGGGAAATTGGGAGGAAATTGTGCGGGGGCGTAGGAAAAGGCAAATGTTGGGCTAAAAGGCTTTCCAGGTCAGACCTCGTGGCAACAACCTCAACCTCATGGGCGTTGATGGCCAGCAAATTGATTTTGATTCGCAGTCAGAAATTATCAAATGTGCAAATCGAGTGGAGAAATCTGTGTGAGGCATTGGGATCTGGAATGGAAGATTAATAAGGATACAATATCTGATAAGGGTCCAAAAACAAGCGGATAAAGTGGTGGATTTGTTGGAATTCATACTTTATTATATGGGCAC